TTACAATCAACACACATATTTTAAACATTTTACCACATTTACTATTTCTTTGTCTTTTCCTGTCTCCCTTTTCTTCGTCCCTCTCCCAATCTAATTCTATCTCTGTGAACTATTTGAGAATTATTTACAGACATCATAACTTCACTCTGAAATATTTCACCGTGTGCCTTCTGTAAGTCAATGCACCTAGGACCTGACTTTCCTAACCATAATACACTTATCACACTAAGGAAATTAAACATCAATTCACTACTGTTATCTGGAATGTATCCATAGTCACATTTCCTCACTTGTCTCAGTAGTGTCCTTCAATTCTCATTTTTTCTTCCATTTTTACTCCATTTTATTCTTCCAGGATCCAATCAGGGATCTTGCATTGCATTTAGTTGTTAGGTTTCTCCTTTCAGATTATAGTTCTGTTATCCTTTCTGTCCCCACTTCGTAAAATTGACATTTTTGAAAGGTTCCACATAAGTTGTTTGGCAGAATGTCCCTCAATTTGGATTTGTCTCATTTCTCATGCCATATTGGTCCCTTTATATCCTTCAAACTTGTTTTTTTGGACATTAGGGTGGCTCAGCCTGTTAAGCGTCTGCCTTCAGCTCAGATCATGATCCCAGGGTCCTGGGATCAAGCCCCTCATCGGGTTCCCTGCTCAGCGGGAAGCCTGCTTCTCCCTCTGCCTGCCGCTAACCCTGCTTATGCTCTCTCTCTCTCTGACAAATAAATAAATAAAAACTTTTAAAAAAAGTGAAGTGTTGTTTTTTAGAAGGTTTAGCTCTTTCCCTGATGTAAGCTATAAAGAAAACAAATACATATATACCCATATGCATATATATACACATATTCACAAAATCAAGGTTGTGCATAATTTCAAGTGGCTCACTGACCTTCCCTTGAAGTCTATACATGCAAATGCATGAAACCTTGGCAAAGACTGTGCTCTAAACATAATTGGCATGGGTGATGGGACTCATGATCCCACTACTCAGCAATAGTGCTTGAATTACATTTTAAGTTACATAATGTGTATTAGAAATGTGATCTCTTATGTTATGGAATTATTTGTTTCCCTAAAATTCATATGGTGAAGTCCTGCTACTGCAGAATATGACTGTATTTGAAAATAGAGTCTTTAAAAAGGTAATTAAGTTAATATGAGGTCATTAGGGTAGGCCCTAATCAATATGGCTAGTGTCCTTTATAAGAAGAGAAAATTGGGACGCAGACAGAGACACAGACAGGTGCATGCACAGAGAGCCAACCATGGGAAGTCACAGGGAGAAGGTGGCCATTGGCAAGTCAGGGAGAGAGGCCTTAGGAGACGCCAACCCTGCATCACCTTGATCTTGGACTTCCAGCTTCCATAATTGTGAAAAAGTAAATTTCTGTTGTTTAAGCCACCCAGTCTAGGGTATTTTGTCATGGCAGCCCTAGCAAACTCATGTTGTTACCTTTCTGAATTCTCTCATAAAAGTTTAATTATTTCCTCCTCTATCCCCCTAGCACTTCATTAATACCACTGGCATAGCATATATCACACTGTTTTATGGTTAAAAATGTCTCTTCTAGGGCGCCTGGGTGGCTCAGTTGGTTAAGCGACTGCCTTCGGCTCAGGTCATGATCCTGGAGTCCCGGGATCGAGTCCCGCATCAGGCTCCCTGCTCAGCAGGGAGTCTGCTTCTCCCTCTGACCCTCCTCCGTCTCATGCTCTCTGTCTCTCATTCTCTCTCTCTCAAATAAATAAATAAAATCTTAAAAAAAAAAATCAAAAAAAAAATGTCTCTTCTACCAGACTGAAGCTCTTTAGAGTAGATACTAAACATTTTTGCATCATCTGGCATAAAATCTGGGGCTCGGTGGTGCTCAGTTGTTATTTGTTACTCTGAAGTGAATGAAAGCATCCAAATAAAGTGCCTTTGTTTCATGGGTGAGTCTTACCTTTGAAATGATACCTATTTCTGAAATGTTGGATGTAGGAAAAGATTTGGATCACATCCAAAGTTATATCTAGTAAAGTTATAATTTATTATAATTTGGTTTACTAGACATTTATGAGGGTGGGCTTAGACCTCTCAGATTATTTTGGAAACCATTAATGATTTATTCAACAAGTGTCTGTTGAATGTCTTCTAGGTGCTGGACTTTGTGATGGATACTGGACCAAATGGTGAGCCAAAACTGACCTTGTTCCTATCCACATGGAGCTGACATGCCAGAGAGATTCCTGAGTTTTGGGAAATAATCCAGTTCCTGCCAGGTTTCAGGGAAGTAGAATGAACCCACAGCCTATACTGTCATGGACCTTGAAGAGCCTTGGAGAACTCAGGTAGCATGATAACACCCTGGTTGTTAGATGTCTTTTCTGGAGCTGTCTCTAGAATTTCAGTAATAAATGAGGTCCACTTGAGAACACTGAAAACAAGAAGAGCCTACTAAAGCTTGGAAAATTTTTGGCATTAAAATTACTTCTGAGTGGGGCGCCTGGGTGGCTCAGATGGTTAAGTGTCTGCCTTCGGCTCAGGTCATGATCCCAGGGTCCTGGGATTGAGTCCCACATCGGGCTCCCTGCTCGGCGGGGAGCCTGCTTCTCCCTGCTTGTGCTCTCTCACTCTCTCTATCAAATAAATAAACAAAATCTTTAAAAATAATAATAAAATTACTTCTGAGTTTTGAAACAAATAAGAAAGAGTCTTAAAATTCTAACATTACTAGGGCTTATTTCTGCACTTCAGGCAAAGTAAGAGAAACAGTGCTCCAGGACCCAGAGACAGCCTTAGAAATGTTGATTGCTATAGGAGGTATCAGATCAGGTTTCTGACTTCTGAATCATAAGAGGTAGTAATTGGTGGTTCAAGTGACAAACTGGCGCAAGTTTCTCTGGTCAAATACATTAGTGGCAGCCTTTGAAAGTTGGAAGAAATTAGGGCTAGATTAGGGATTAGCAATGTTACAAACGGCCAGTTAGTATTTTAAGCTTTGTGGGCCAAGAAGCAAAACTAAAGATATTATGTAGCTATGGGTGTATAAAATCAAAGATGTGTGTGTATTTAAATAAGTTAAGAAATAAATTTTTGCAAATTTTTGTTGATAAAATTCAAAAATAATAATAATAATAGAGTTTTTTGTTTGTGTGCGTGTTTGTTTTTGGTAATAAGTGTTTCCTGATAAGAAGTATGGAACTCTTTTCTTCCCCCTCCAGGGTTGGGAGAAAATTTTTGTTTAACTGAGGTTCAAAATGCTTGTTCTCTATCTCCAAGTTGATCATAAATGTTCAACTGTATTGACTGGCAATGCGATTTTATGTATTTCATCTTGGAAAATGTCTTTTCACACACATAGGTACTGCAAAATACTGATATCAATCTATGGGCATTGATTCTACCTTATCATCATCATTGTTTGGATGTGTAGTAACCCAGCCACTTTACTTATATTTCAGTTTCAAGAACTTGGGTCCTATAGCCCATGCTGAGCTTTTGCTTTGACCTTCATGTAAAATGTTGCCTCTCAGCCCTGGTTCAGCATTGCTAACACAAGTCCCACCAGGACTGCTAGTCCTAGCATCAGGTCCAGGATTGGATCTTCACTTGCCAAGGACTAGCATCTGCCCTTCCTATACTAACTGCCCATCAGGGTAGCTTTCTGCTTGCTAAGCATGCTCATTAATATCTCTGTATGTTTTTCTGCCTTTTCCTTATGACAGGCCCTCCTTGAAGTTGGCCACCTGCCCCTTTGTTATTATGTTATTTGAGGTCTCTCAACCTTGAAAGACTCCTTCCTGCTGGACCTGAGCCTAGTATCTGCCTCACCTCTACCACCTCCCTCAGTGTGTCTAGTTCCTCTGGACTTTCCCAGTCTGGCTTGTCCAAATGCCACTCAAGGTCTAGTTCGGGGAACCAGAAAGGGCAGGTTTATGTGACTTAAGGAAGTTGATGGTGGCAGTCCCTGGCGCTTTCCCAAGACAGCAGCAAGTAGTTTTTCTATAATTTTAGAAAAGCTCTCAGAACTCATGATGACCTTGTAGAGTGTGAGAAATATTTATGACTGGTGGGAGATGTAATGGTAGCTGCCTATCAGAGCACAAATGTTCTAGGCCATTAAACATTACAATATGCAGAGTGAAGCTTTCAGAACCCAGAAGGTGCAGATTGTTCTAAAGTTTAAAGGGGGGGGCACCTGGGTGGCTCAGTTGGTTAAGCACCTGCCTTCGGCTCAGGTCATGATGATCCCAGGGTCCTGGGATGGAGCCCTACATTGGGCTCCCTGCTCAACGGAGAGCCTGCTTCTCCCTCTCCCGCTCACCCTGCTTGTGCCCTCTGTGTCTACCTCTGTCTCTCTCTGTCAAATAAATAAATAAAATCTTTTTTTTTTAAATAAAGTTTAAAGGGGAAAAGCATAGCACGGCTTCCAAGGTTCAAGTAACTTAAAGATTATAGGATCATATCTGGGTGTCCAGACAGTCTATTCCAAAGTCCAAGTTGCATGGAGGATGTAGATTTGGCCAGAGTCCAGTGTTCAGGTGAACTGTTGGGAATAAGTTTCTAAGACTTGAGACACTCAAAAGAGGTTGGGGTTTATGGCTCATTTAGGGGAATTGCTATAGTAGAAAATATGACTAGACACCAGACAATGCTAACATCTCTACCATAACTGCGTGTGTGTGCCCTAGGTAGATCCCCTGAGGTTTACTCACCTCAGGACCTGAAGGACTAAGATATTTTCCATTAATTTAGTAATTTAGAGATAAGCTGAGATCACCTTAAAAATGAATAATTTGATGTCAAGAGTCAATTAACTTGTGATAGAGACAAGATTGTATCAGAGGCCTCTTGACTTTCTTATCTAGTGTGTTTGTGTTCTCAGGGTTGAAAGAGGGTGGAGGATGAGGGTGGAAGAAGAGAGGAAGGATGTTTTGGCAGTGGGGGGAGGCAATGAATTACATAATTATAGAGAGCAAAATGGAGTCCCTCATGTCAAGCAGGAGCCTGCGTCAACCAATGACGTAAGCAGGTAAGGTACTGCAGCTAGGAGATATCTATCACCAAGTCAGTTGACACCCCAGAACTCATAATGAGCAGAACCAGAGGAGGTCTGCAGAGACCCAAAACTAATGAAATCCCTTTAAAAACAGGAGGATTTGGGCAGCAAACTGTCAGACTCTACAGCATGACCCCTCTACATCTGACCCTTAAAAAAGGCAACTGCCACCAAACGATCTGCCCAATTGATCTCCAAACAGAACCGAGAGCCTTCCCTGCTTGAATATCAGAAGCAGTCAGTTCCGAGAGCTGACCCGGACCGGACCGAGACCTTATCTCAACTGTGTGCCCACAGACTGACTTCGGGTTTGGTTCATTCACTTCCTGCACCCTTCTGTTATCTTCTTTGTTGTGTGACTTGCCTTCTGTCCTGCTTCGTGTGCTGTATAAGAAGCTAAGTTTAATCACATGGTGAATTGTCACTGAGTTTGGAATCCTGAACCTGCTTTATCATTGTGATTTAACTTTGCTTTATGATTGAATAAAGTTGACATCGTGGAAAGACACAACTCGTGTGTGTGCCTTCATAGCATGCTCATGACAATAATAAAAATATGGAGCCAGAGTCAGTGATATTCTGGTGAACAAAGCTGGTATAGAATCAAGTGACATCATGGAGAGTACCAGGAAGCAGCACTCATTGGGGAGTCTGCTTCTCCCCTCACTCTCTGCATCCCCCCCACTCCTGCACATGTGTGCTCCCTCCCTCTCTCTCTGAAATAAATAAATAAAATCTTTTTTTAGAGATTTTATTTATTTATATGTCAGAGAGAAAGAGAGAGAGCACAAACAGGGAGAGCTGAGGGCAGAGAGAGAAGCAGGCTCCCCACTGAGCAAGGAGCCTGATGCAGGATTCGATCCCAGGACCCTAGGATCATGACCTGAGCCCAAGGTAGATACTTAACGAACTAAGCCACCCAGGCATCCCTAAATAAATAAAATCTTTAAAAGGGGTGTTCCCCTTTATTTAAAAGTCAATTGATTGTAGATGTTACCACGTTTACAAAATACCATTGTGGCAACACCCTAGATTCTTGAGGCAAAATTTCTTGTTCTTTTAGCCTTAAACTGTTTGGATGAAACCCCCTTTATTTAAAAGTCAATTGATTGTAGATGTTACCACATTTACAAAATGCCATTGTGGCAACACCCTAGATTGGATTTTGATTAAATAACTGGATATCAAAGCTTAGCCAAATTGACACACAAAACTACCATCATAGAAAGGAAGGTAAAAGTAGAACTGTTAATGAGAGTCAAGGCAGGTTGGGTAGATTGTCAAAAAGCAAATAGAAAAATTGAAGCTATATGTCAGATGACTAGATAATAGCCCTAATTCCTAGGAATCTCATAATTTTGATGCCAGTTGTGATGTAGACTTGATTTTTCTTTCTTACTCTCTATTTGCCACAACAGCAATGATAACAACAATACTCCCAGAATCAGGAGTCTCAAGACCAGGAATCTCACTTCTGAGATAGTGCTACCCAAAGTGATCTTGGGCAAGTAGTCAAGCTCTAGAGGTCCTCTAGTCTTATCTGTAAAATTGGCAAGTTTAAGTAGAATCCAGAGTAAATGTTTGCAGAAGAGAATTCAAAAGTGCATGCACTACTCAAAGCTAGGCGTTTACACTGACTTTGGCTACATATAAAATGGCTTGGAGAGAAAATTTAACCCCAAATCCAGAAGATTCTAATTCAGTTGAAGTGGAGCCTGGGCTTCAGAATTTCAAAAATAAAAATTAAAATTAAAAAACTACTCTGGGTGTTTTTAAATTTATTTAGTGCAGAGAACTGTGTGCCAAAGGTATCCAAATATTTTTTTTTAAAGATTTTATTTACTTATTTGAGAGAGAGATAGAAAGCAAAGCAAGAGAGAGCACGAGCTGGGGGATGGGGCAGAGGGAGAGGCAGAAGCAGACTCCCCACTGAACAGGGAGCCCCATGCAGGCGCTCCATCCCAGGACCCTGGAATCATGACCTGAGCTGAAGGCAACGCTTAACCGACTGAGCCACTCAGGCATCCCTCATGCACATTTTTAATATGTTGGTTTTCAGCTGTGCTATGAAGTTTATACAAATATAGAAATGTCCTAGAATTTCCCTAAAAAGGCTTTTTGTTTTGGGTTATTTTTGAAGAAAACAAATAGATTGTATTAAAATTTGATTATTGTGTTATTCTTGTCACATAGGTTTTGATTAGTATTTACTATTTGTCTACAATGTCCCAGAAAAGGACTTTCATCTCTCGACACTATTTTTATTACAACATTTCTTCCTCTCTTTTGATTGTCCAATCACTAAAGAGCTATAATCTTCCCAAACACTTAAAAGTAAGTCACAGCCATGTAACTCATTCAGTTTCTCTTTGCTGGACTCGAAAAAGGAAGGAGTACCACTGTCTTCCAGTAAAACAGGTTTATACAGCTAAAGGAGTCTATGCTGGCTTTATCAATGGAAGAACCTGCTAAGAGGAGCAGTGTTAAGAAATATAAAATAATTTGTATTGTAAGTACAATTTTTAATTTTAGTTTTTGTAGCTTTATGACAATGTTAAGCGTATAAATCCCCATTTATATTTGTGTTGTTATTTAAGTGTAAAGTTTTTAAATGGTTGTATTCAGTTTTATCCCTTCTGACAACTGCGATGCCAAGTTAATGTTTTTTAATCATATTTTGCCTAAGAAATGTAACTACAAATTAATATTTGATCAACCTAAAAAGTGGGGATCTGTGGTGAAACACTTTGCAGCATTGATTCTAGCATGATTATAATCACCCCCCAAGTCACCATTTTATACTGTGTGAATATCTTTAAGACCAGAGAGTGAGCAATTAAAATCATCGTATCTTATATTCTTTGTTGGACTATTGCTTTTATCTTAGTTCACTTTACTCCTAACAATGGTCTCTTTGTCTAGTTCCTCTTTGCTTTTTTTACGTGATAAGATCTGCCCTGTTGAAAAGAATAAAAAGGGAAGAAAAAAAAAAACTTTCCTTGATTTTATTACTCAAACTTTTGGGGAAAAGAGAGGTCCATCCACTACCTTGGTTTTCTCACCATCCAACCATTCTCTGTTCTGCTTGTTTTTACTGTCCTGAAGTCATCTCCCTGAAAGTCAGTGCTTCTCTGTCCTAGTCCTGCTGCATCTCCATAACAATACTACTACCGCATATTATTATTATTATTATTTTCTCATCTTGAATTATTCTCTCCTATTGCTTCCATAATGGCATTGATAGCCCCCATTTTTATGATGTTTCTCTTTATCTGCATCCTTGGCTGATTTATCTTTCTTCTCATTGCACATTGCACATAGTGTTCCACCGAACCCTGTTTTTAAAGATCTTTTCTGTAGGCGATCTCATCTTTTCATGATTTTAAAAGTCACATTCTCGGGCGCCTGGGTGGCTCAGTTGGTTAAACAACTGCCTTCGGCTCAGGTCATGATCCTGGAGTCCCAGGATGGAGTCCCACATTGGACTCCCTGCTCAGCAGGGAGTCTGCATCTCCCTCTGACCCTCCCCCCTCTCATGTGCTCTCTCTCTCTCATTCTCTCTCTCAAATAAATAAATAAAGTCTTTAAATAAAATAAAATAAAATAAAAGTCACATTCTCAACCAAGAATTTCAAGCAAGGGGCGCCTGGGTGGCTCAGTCGTTAAGCGTCTGCCTTCAGCTCAGGTCATGATCCCAGGGTCCTGGGATCCAGCCCCGCATTGGGCTCCCTGCTCCGCGGGAAGCCTGCTTCTCCCCCTCCCACTCCCCCTGCTTGTGTTGCCTCTCTCACTGTGTCTCTCTGTCAGATAAATAAATAAAATCTTAAAAAAAAAAAATTCAAGCAAGCCAGTAGGTCCAACTTCTTGCTGAGTTTCTGTCACACAATTTCAAATGCCTTCTTGCTGGCTCCTCATCCAGTATCTCAAGGCAAAACCAACTGATTAATTTCTCACACCTAACATGCTGCAATTTTCTCCTTAATTCCCTACTTTGGTTAATGTCACCACCATTCTGTCACTCAAGCATTGTTTCTAGAAGTAAATGAAACAATGTGTGTAAGCATTGAGCTTACTATAACAAAGTAAACTGTCAAGATATTCTATTTATTCATTATCCTTCTGGGAACTTTGGAGTGTTAGCTTCTATGCCATTTATTATATTTATTCCATCTTATAAATTCAAGAAATTATAAACCTCTTGGAAGCAAAATTTTGTACATCATTTATTTTCCTTCCTTATCCTTCTAATGGTTTACCAGTATGTATAATAGAAGCTCAATCTTTCAAAATCATAGTTTCAAAAGTACCCTGTTTCCAAATTTTAAAAAAAGTTTCATGTAAAAAACTTTCAAAATCATAGTTTCAAAAGTACCCTGTTTCCAAATTTTAAAAAAAGTTTCATGTAAAAAACTTTCAAAATCATAGTTTCAAAAGTACCCTGTTTCCAAATTTTAAAAAAAGTTTCATGTAAAAAACTTTACATGTATCGACTGTGTTTCTAGCACTCTTTATTCAGCCATCTGAAGCCAAATATTGGATTCTCAGAGGTTTTTGGAGTCTGGAGCTCTGCCCTCTCCACTTTGTTGATAGCATAAATAGTTTAAGATACATAGGCACCTCAATATCAAGAAGCTTATTCAGGGGACACCTGGGTGGCTCAGTCTGTTAAGTGTCTGCCTTCAGCTCAGGTCATGATCCCAGGGTCCTGGGATTGAGTCCTGCATTGGGCTCCTTGCTCAGTGGGGAGCCTGCTTCTCCCTCTGCTGCTCCCCCTGCTTGTGCTCTTGCTCTCTCTCTGACAAATAAATAAATAATATCTTTAAAGGAAAAAAAAGAAGCTTATTCAGAATTACTACATGTTTAGAGGAAATGATTATATGAGATTAAAAATGAACCTTCTTCTTGAGGAACTTACAGAACAATGTAGGGAAGAAGTAAAAAATATATGGAAAAAGCCATGAAGAAACCGACACTAAGATTTAGCAGGAGAAAAATTCGAGAGCATCCAAAGGACAGCTAGATGCTGTTTATTTTCCCATCAAATTTGAATGGCAAAAGGACCAAAAATAAGATGTAAAACCAAAATAGGCTAATATGTAAATCTATGATGCATGAGGTTTACCATCGGACTATTTCCCCGTGTTTCTCCACTTTGTGCTCCTAATCTTGGTCACCTGTGGCTTTTGAGCATCATAGCGAGGGACTAAGTGCTTAGTGATGCTACTTAATAACTGTTTATGTTCACTTTTCCCCTTCTATTCTCTCCACTGAATGCATACCTGCTGGAAGGTCAATGAAACTTGGGCTAACTTTCAGACTTCATAAAAAATTGTTCTTACAGTATTTTAACGTATTTTCCCAATAGTTTAATCCACTTCTATGGTAAAAGTTAGATAGGTTAGATAGGTTAATTTTCCAGTTGATTTTCAGAGTGAAAACAAAGACAATTGATGGCTACGTAGATCTTTATTACCTAAGCAATTTTGATGTTGTGTTTTTTTTTATAAAAGTGATTTTTTGGGGGGCACCTGGGTGGCTCAGTCGTTAAGCGTCTGCCTTCGGCTCAGGTCATGATCCCAGGGTCCTGGGATCGAGCCCCGCATCGGGCTCCCTGCTCAGCGGGAGGCCTGCTTCTCCCTCTCCCACTCCTCCTGCTTGTGTTCCCTCTCTCACTGTGTCTCTCTCTGTCAAATAAATAAATAAAATCTTTAAAAAAAAAAAGTGATTTTTTTTTTAAAGTCAGGCCAAAGGTTATTGGTGTTGTAAAATACATCCCTGAGCAATTTGTTATCTGTTGCATTCATATTTTATGGCTACGTATTATTCAATGTCTGTTATCCATCATACTTATAATTGGACCTACTGGAGAGGGGAGAAAGGTCAGTAGGAATAATTTAACTGTATCACAGTTTAATTCCAGGTATCACATAAAGTCCACTATATTGAAGAGCCTGGTCAGCAGTAGTGACAATGAATGACACACACAATCTTACGTCACAGAGCTTCCACATCATCGGTCTGAGCTGTAGATCAAAGCGGATCATTTGCCAGTTAATTATTCGGACACTATATTTTTACATGTGTTAGATATTCCTCATTCCCCTCCATAGGACAGAGCTGGGCGGGGAAAGGGAGGGACCTCTGCTCCCTAGGAGTGAGGTAGTTAAAGATTTCACAGTTGAGAAATGCTTTTAGATAAATGATCTCCAAACAGGAATCTAGTTAAGAATGAGAAATGGGCAAAGGTAAATGGCTCCCATGGTTTCATTCATACTTTAACTCCATCTGGGGTTAAGCTAACCAGGACCGATGTATTTGAATTTGAAGATCTGCAATAAGTAGTATTCTAAATTTCTTCCCAAAGCTTTCTTATTTTCAGGCATTAAAAAAAAAATACATGCCTCTTTCATTGTTGGACCTGGTGTGCTCTGCGCCTTTAATATTCACTGAGAGAGGGAGGGAGGTATCTTTGTACCTTTTTACATTTTTTTAAAATTGTAAAGGTCACTTTTCCTTTTTTCGTAATAGGTTCTTCTTGCTTTGTTGGTGATTGTGTCACTTGGATTGGGGCTGGGGCTTGGACTCAGGCGACAAGAACAGCAAGGTATATCCCTCAGTGTTTTCTCAACAGTTCCTTATTTCTCCTTTCTCCTCACCTTCACCCCTTGAAACTTGTCTCTTCTCTGGAGCTCCCTCTCTCCTGCATGGAGTACTCTCCTCCTAGGCTTCTCCGTCTCCCACACCGCACTTACTAGGAGCCCACATCTGTGGTTAACATTATCCACTGTCATTTCTGGACTTTACCCTTTTGCCCTCACCCCCTGCTCCCTTGAGATTCACATCATTCCTCTATGTTCTTATTTGACCTCACCTTCATAGAGGACTTTGATAACTGGATTAAAGACTCCTGTCCCAGCACCTACTCTACTCATTCCTATCTGCTTGTCGATAAACTTGGTCTCAAAAGTCTTGGTTGCTTCCCTCCCAGGACCTCCTGCCATGTTAGTACTGCATTCTCCCTGAAATCTCACTATTTCTTGGCTAGGCGATGCCACATTCTTAAATGTAGTGCAGAGTAAAAGCTTCACATTTATTTATTTATTTTTCCTCATAAGAAGCAAAGAAAGGGGCACCTGGGTGGCTCAGTTGGTTAAGCCTCTGCCTTTGGCTCAGGTCATGATCCCAGGGTCCTGGGATCGAGGCCCACGTCGGGCTCCCTGCTCAGTGGGGAGTCTGCTTCTCCCTCTCCCTCTCCCTCTGTGTTCTCCCTCCCACTCCCCTTCTATCAAATAAATAAATAAAAACAAATCTAAAAAATAAAAGAAGCAAAGAAAAAATAGGAGATAGAATCCCCAAAATATCAAAACACGTCTCTTTTGCCATATCAGATCAGTATGAACAGTACATAAACTACTTACAAGTGACTATATGAAAAGCATTTTCTAAATCTTGTTATGTATTGTTTTGGTACTTTTATGAAGGGGAAGTATGAGGTCAAATGTTAGGTAATTCATTCTCCTTTTTAATTTGGCTGATTAACTTCTAGTTTGACTCCCTTGGGGAAGGTCTTACTGCTTCTTTGTTAGGGAGACTCTTGGTGAGATTAACAGACAATTTTCCAGTTATGTTCTCACTTAAGAATTAACAGACACTCAGTACCCCTAGCCTAACATGGGAACACGGTGGAACTGGAAAGGTGGACCTTACCTGGAAAATTACTGTCTTTTTTGGGGTCACTTGGCTATTGTGTTTCTGAACTACAGTACCAGTCCTAGACCTAACAGGTGTAGGTGGTCCACTTTGGTAGTATTATTCTGATGTTAGTTTGCACAGGTATGCACCACTTCTTAGTTCTCTCATCCTCAAATCACGTAAATTAATTGCAAGAGGCATATACTAATCTCTGAACAAAATCTCTGATTATTTTGGCTCTTTCTCTCCCTTCCTTACTTTAGTACACCTATTGGCTGGCTTCCCAGTGTCATTGTTCCTTATTCTTGTCCTTTTATCTCAGTCTATCAGCCCTCATGTGGCATCACCCCTTCCCACCTAGGGCATTGGTACTTAACTCCAGCCCCTCATTTACTATCATCCTTAAAATATTCATCCCCTCATTCTTCCATAGCTGATTCCTAATCCCCAATCCTGGACCATTTTCACCATTCTCCACTCTAATCAACCCACTTTTCATAGGCACAGTACGTTTTTTTCTAGTGTGAGTTTTCAAGCAATTTTTCCGGTTTGAGTTTTTAATGGGTTCTTAAAAATTTATTCTTTTATGCGCACTTACTTTTTACTTATTCTTCAACAATTGGGCACTGACTGTATGCTAGGTATTATTCTAATTACTGGGAATACAGTGGTGAAGAAAATAGACACATCCTTCAGGAGTTTATAGTCTAGCATAGAAGACAGACACTAAAAATATAAATAAGCCAAATACATATAATATGCTAAGGAAAGTGCTAAGGGATAAGTAAAACTGAAAAGAGGATTATAAAATATGGAGTTAGGGTGGGATGGGAGATGTATGTGAAATGACTTTTGTAAAAAAGTCTTTGTAAAGAGCTAGAGTGAGGGAGAAATAGGGATATTTGGGGGAAGAACATTCCAGGCAAGAGGAAACTGCAAGGGCAAAGGCCTAAGGCAGGAACATGCCTGGCAACTTCATTTAAAGAATAACAAGTTTGAAAAAAAAAAAAAAAAAGAATAACAAGGTTGGTGAGTTGGAACTAAGAGGACAAGAGGGAGGGTAGTCATAAAATGAGATCAACCAAAGGACAGAAGAGAAGCCACATCAGTGAGATTGTTAAGTCAAATCTGGCCGTGGGCTTTCATTCTGAGAGTGATGGGAAGTGATTGGAGTTTTGAGCAGAGAAGATACATGCATGGTTTGCTTTTCCACACACTCACTTAGGCTGCTGTCTTATGAATAAATGGCAGGGTGAAACCAGGAGATGTGGAGACATCAATTAGGAAATTATTGCAATAATCCACACAAGCTCTATGTCTTGAACTAGGGTGGTAACATTGTAACTGGTGAGAAGTGTTTGGATCCTGGATATCTTTGGATGTGATAGATAGATTTTATCCACAAAGTGGGTATAGAGAAAGAGAGAAGTCACGAAACACTTCAAAATTTTTGGTATGAACATCTGGAAATACAGAATTTCCACAATAGAGATGGGGAACACTGTTGAAGAAGCTGGTTTGGGGAGAATAATCAGGAACTCGTTTTTGGACATGTTAAGTTTGAAATATCTACTAGGTGTCCAAGTGGAAAAGCCAGAAGGTAGTTGAATATATGAGGCTGGCTTTTGAAGGGAGGTCCTAGATGGACATGCAATGTGGCAGTTATCAGCTTCATATGTGGATTTAAGGCAATGTAACTGGAACACACTAACCTTAAAAAATTGGGAAGATGAGGGGGGAAAAAAACCACGGATGAAGTCTAGGAAGAATTGGCCAGGGATGTGGGAGGAAAGCCAGGTGATTGTTGTGTCCCGGAAGCCATGTGCAGAAAATGTTTCAAGGTAGGAGAGTGAATATAAAAATGTAAAGGTCTTTTATATAAATGGTATATAAACTTTTTTGGGTTACTTTTTCACTGAACGTTTCTTAAGATCCATCTAAATTGGGGCACCTGGGTGGCTCAATCGTTACGTGTCTGCCTTCCGCTCAGGTCATGATCCCAGGGTTTTGGGATCGAGCCCGGCATTGGGCTCCCTGCTCCATGGGAAGCCTGCTTCTCCCTCTCCCACTCCTCCTGCTCGTGTTCCCTCTCTGTCAAATAAATAAATAAATAAATATCTAAAAAAAAAATCCTAAATTGTTATGCATCCATCTATTCTTAGGCATCTCTCTACTTGCTACATAGTACTCTTTAGCATGTATAGCAATATACTATTTGACCTATGCCCTCCCCTGGTGCTGGATACCCAGGTTGACTTTAGTTCCTTTACATTTCATAAATCCCGCAGGTTCCCTTATGGACCTGCGTGAGATTGCTTCATCATCTACCCAGGAATAGGATTCCTTGGTCTTAGGGTCTGTATTTTAACTTGGTTGAGTGGCCCCAGATAGCTTTCTGGAATGGCTGCCACAGCTTACTCTGTCTTTACCATGCACCCTTACCAACCCTTGGCATTATCTGGCTCTCTCATTTTTGGCAATGTAAGCTTAGGTATAGAGTGGTATCTTTTATTTTAACTTTTGTTTCTCTGCCCTGCTGCTCCGATCTGTGTTGATTTCTCTCTTGGTTTGTTTGGTGTTCCCCTAGACCCTCCATTGTGTTGGATCTCATTATTTTTTGGATCTCTTTGTTTCACTTCCTCATTTTGCTAAAGAACATCCTTTAGTAGCTTCTTAAAATAGGATACATAAAAGATACAACTTGAGTTCTTATCTATCTAAAGATATTTTCATCATCCTAACCTAACACTTGACAGTTTGGCTAGATATTGAATTCTGAGATGAACATAATTTTCCTCTAGAAATATGAAGACATTGCTTTCCTGTCTTCTGGCTTTCAGTGTTGCTTTTAAGAAATTTGATACCATTCTGACTTGTGATCTTTGATAGCTTGCTCATGATCTTTCTCTGGGAACTTTCAAGATCTCTTTGTCCCTGTTGTGCTGACCCCTTCATGTGAGTTTTGCCCTGGGAAATGTTGATGTAATAATTAATACTTTTCAGTTCTGGGAAATTTTATAATATGACTTCTTTAATAATATCATGTCTACTTTCTCTGTTTTTCACTTTTAGGTACTACCTTCCTTTTAAAAGGTTAACTATGTAGTAGCCTTGATTATATCTGCAATATCTCTTTGCTGTGTAAAACAACATAGCATGTTCAATCTTGGGGATTAGGGTGTGAAATCTTCTCCGAAACCATCATTCTGCCTACCACACCCCTCTACTGAATTTTTCATTACTGCTTTCATGTTTTTATTTCTAAGAGAACCCTGAACATTATTTCTCTTTTTGAAATTATAGCTTTCTTTCTTATTTCATGGATACAATATCGTCTTTTCTGAAGCTCTCACTGTTAGCTGTGCATGTGTGTGTTTGTGTTTAACTCTTCTGTTTCTTTCATTGTTTCCTTTTCAATCAAGATTTTCTTTTCCTCTTTTCTTATTTGTTTTGGTCTTCGTTTTTATGTTGGATTTTATCTTGCTATTCTCACATGTCTGGTAACCATTTGTTCAAGTTTATGAATACGGCTTGTTCATCTTTTCTCATCATAGCTAACCTTTATGTTTGCCTCTGTGATGAAAGCTACTCTTCCTAAATTCTTCCAGATTGTGAGCCTCTATCGAGTGGGAGGTGAGGTGGATCTTGCTGCTCCATCTTCAGACTTTAAACCAGTTTCACTTTATTTAGCCTCTGCCTGTCCCTCCTACCTTCACCTAATGGTGCCTGGTGTTTCTGAGTCTGGGACCTCTTTGGAGTCCTGGGGAAAAATCACTTACTATTTATCATTGTGCATTGATGACTCATAGAGCACAATAAAAAAATATCTGCTTGTCTGACCTAGTCTGTGCTAGGTACCTCTTCTGTGTGCTTCTACCATCTAGCTCAGAGACATCAGATAACTTCTTTTTTTTTTTTTTTAAAGATTTTATTTATTTGAAAGAGAGAGAGCATGGGAAGGAGGGGCAGAGGGAGAGGGAGAGAATCTCAAGCAGACTCCCTGCTGAGCGCAGAGCCTGACATGGGCTCAATCTCATGACCCTGAGATCATGACCTGAGCCGAAATTAAGAGTCGGACTGACTGAGCCACCCAGTTGGCCCTCAGATAACTTCTAAGCACTGGTTTCCTTATTCCCTCCACTCCTACAGGCAGTTGCAGGAAGAAATGCTTTGATTCTTCATTCAGAGGACTGGAGAGTTGTCGGTGTGATATGGAATGCAAACACAGAGGCGACTGCTGCTGGGATTTTGAAGACACTTGTGTGGAATCAAGTATGGATTCTGAGGATAAGTTCATTATAGCATGTTGGTTGTGCTGTCATTAACGCATGTCCACATGCTCACCATACACCTTGTCTATTGGTTTGCTAGGGCTGCCATAACTCAGAAACTGGGGGGCTTAAACAACAGAAATTCATTTCCTCAGTTCTAGAAGCTAGAAATCCAAGATGCAGGTTTCATCAGGGTTGATTCTTTCTAAGGTCTGTGAGGGAGATCCATTCCTTGCCCTTCTCCTAGCTTCTGGTGGGTTACAAGTTGGCTGTCGTTGGCTTTTGGCAGCATAACCCCAAACTCTGCCTTTGTCTTCACGGAGAGTTCTCTTGTGTCTTCATAGTCTTCCCTGTGTGTGTGTGTGTGTGTGTGTGTATGTACATGTCCAAATTTCCCCTTTTTATAAGAATATCTGTTGCACTGGATAGGGACCACTCTAATGACCTCATTTGAACTTGAGTATCTACAAAGATCTCTTTCTAAGCAAAGTCACATTCATGGCGTTGGGGGGCTAACACTCCAACATTTTAGGGGGACACTATTCAACCCATGAGACCTTGTGTACAGGATTATCGTTTCCCCTTTTGCAGTACTAAACACAGAGTCCACACTTGATTTGATTGAGGTTGAGGAATAATGGTGTCCAGTAGATGAAACGCTGTCTATGTTGCTGGGAATACGAACGTCGCAACGCAGTTTCACTACGGCTCAAGTTAATCATCTTGTTCAGTTTCCTTTGCAGTCGTTCTCAGATTTCAGGGTGCATAAGACTTACTTGGAAAGCTGGTGATTCTTGGTGATTCTGATGCCAGTGCTCCACAGAACACAACTTGAGAAACACTGTTCTCTGGGTAGAAGAGACAGTTCTCAATGTTTAATCTTTTAAGACATCAGTGAAGGCATGTAGATACGGGGGTGGCTAGCGGTTCAAAGAGTAAAGATTAGAATAGTAGAGCTTCTTACATTATATTTTCTGAAAAGGGCAAGGGGGAGGGGATAACTTAGTGTAGATAAGATCTGCATTCCCTTTACTTAATCTCCCCAAATCTTTCCTAAGTAAGTGACAAGTAATGGACAATGAAGAACTCTATGCACAACAGAAGCACGCAGCAGTCACCTGTCGAACGCATTTGTCTAAGCACAGAGCTGATGTTGATTTTAGACACTGATTCCTAGCAGATGGCACTAGGAAGCAGTGATGGGATAGCCTCGTGCTGTTTTAGCACTCATGTTTATTTACACTGCTCTCATACTGAGCACGTAGCCTGGGAGAGCTGCAGAGGCTCAGTGGAGGCTCACCTAGCACTCCGTACGCTCAGCTGGGAGGTGCCCTGGCCTGCCTGCATTCTTACAGACCTGACCGTGTTCCTGTTAATTCTGCTCTCACGGCCTCTTCCTTCCTGCCCGTCCTTAAACGAAAGTGCTCTTGGGTGGCCACCATCACTAGTGGTTCATCTCCGTTGGGAGTTCCTAATTTTGGGTGGGAATAGAGTCAGTGTTCAGAGTTTCTCCAAAGTCAGAGGTGTACCTGCCAGGTAGACCAGAGCTGCAACTTACAAAACTGCATTTCTCTCTGCCACTCATGCCAACTGAAGAAAAGTGATGGGTTGTGCCTTGTTTGTATGACGTATTTTCATTTATATGCAGAGAAGCCAAGAGTTGGCCCTTACAATAATACAGGGATAAACGTCTGGAATTTACATTTGCTGTTGGATACTTGGGTATACGTTAAATGCTGGGAACTGAATTGTGTGATTTTACAGCTCGAATATGGACATGCAATAGATTTCGTTGTGGGGAGACCAGACTAGAGTTCAGCCTTTGCTCTTGTTCGGATGACTGTCTGCAGAGGAAAGACTGCTGTGCTGACTACAAGAGTGTTTGCCAAGGTAAGCAGAGGAAGTTGACCCATTCGCTTCTCTGTGTTCAGTGACCCCAGAGCTGGCTGATCCAGGCTGCATAAATTAAAACAAGTCAGAGACAACGTGTTTATTGTGGGAAGAAATGTGGCTCGTGCATTACAGAGAGAGGGAGTTCATAGCATAGATACTATAGAAAAGAAGAGAAAGATTAAATTTCCATATTCATTGATAAGGCAAGGTCTTCTCCAATCCAATGACTATGCTAGAAATATCTGTGGTTTGAGATACCAGATGGCAGATCCTAAAGTTAAAACATGATGAAAGAGGTTATCTGGCCCGTCAATCAGTCTGTTAAACCAACGTTACTGCTGAAACAACTGTGTCCTGAGTGGTCAAATTACTGATTAAGGACCTTCAGAGAGTTACTGCAGAGCCAAGATTAGGACACAGGTTATTCAACTCCTGGTTCCAACTGCAAGTGATGTACTGCAGATTATTTTTAAAAATTACCAATCCCTCTGAACATGTAATGAAATTTATGAAAAATGCACATAAACACACAGCAACAAAATTGCTTCAAGTTATCAACCCCTCTTTCATAATGCCAAACCCAATAAAGGCAACTAACTTATACTTTTAATTTTTCTAGACCAAAAAAAGAGATTAGGTTGAATTCTGATTTTTTTGAATAGGAGGAAAATGTTATAGTAGAAACATTAAAAACTATAATCTCTTAGTAGAAAATAGATTTCACACTAATGGATAAATCAATTTTTATTACAAAATATAATTGAAAATCAACTAAAAAGAGCTATCAAAAAGGAAGAATAAATGTCTGAAATGGTAACTTATTTTTCAAATAATTATTGTTTGACATTTAATATTGCATCATTAAAAATTCTGCTAAATTCATGAAGGCAATTTCTTGTTTGCTTATTTCTGTAAGTTCACTGCCTCTGACCCCTCTATTTTCCCACCTTCTACATCAAATATATAATTTAACTTTTTATGTCAAGACTGCTCCTCAGGTCATATGGTAAAATTTCCCACTGAATTCAATGCACAACATTGCTGAAATTTAATAGAAACAACAGTAATTGTTGTGGTACCTGGGTGGCTCAGTCATTAAGATCTTAAAACTTACTATGTTTAATTTTTCCCAATTGAAATCAATTATTCTCATTGGCTGCTTCTGCCCCCTCCCAACACACACAATAACAGAAGCGGGGTGCCTGGGTGGCTCAGTCGTTACGTGTCTGCCATTCGGCTTGGGTCATGATCCCGGGGTCCTGGGATCGAGACCCGCGTCAAGCTCTTTGCTCAGTGGGAAGCCTGCTTCTCCCTCTCACTCTCCCCCTGCTTGTGTTCCCTCTCTCTCTGTGTGTCTCTCTCTGTCAAATAAATAAATAAAATCTTAAAAAAAAAAAAGAAACAACAGTAATTGTTATAAGCAGTGTTGATATTTACCACCACTGCTAAATGGGTACTTTGATGGAGTTAATTTTACCATTTCAGTTTATTTTTCAAACTAAATGTAAATGTTTTCTCTAAGGATTCAATACTTTGTTTAAAGATGTTACATGATTTTTGCTCAAATTAAATCTTCAGGCCGTAGTTTGAAGGCATTTGAATAATTTTTGTGCAAGAAACCAGCTAGTCACTTTTACGTTTTAAATTTAGAATTTTAAAACCTTTATGATATATTTCTAACATATATAAAGGAGAGAATTGTATGGTGATTTCCCTATATGTCCAGCACTTAGCTTCAGCAGCTAGCAACTCATGGCCAGTCTTGTCTCCTCTTGACAAAGTATAATTTTCAAAAAGATAAAAACATGAGTCTCATAGAAATGTAATGTGAACATGTCAAAAAGTAAATAGCTCATTCATGAGATAATCATCTGGACTGTCCAGCTGGCTCAAAGAGAATGAAAGAGACTAAGTATACATACAACTGAAAGAATGTTGGAATGAAGTTATAAATAGTGTAAATTCTGGTGGGACAGAAAGGATTTGCATTTCTACATGACAATTTTTTTGCTATCAGACAAGAATCACTTATGTTGCTATTATTTTTCTACCAATTAACTGCTACTGTTACTGTGTTATAAAATGAATGGTAAGGAATAAGCCAGATAAAGGTATATACTTCTAAGTAATTAGATAATTCATAGGTGGGCTTTTTAGATAATCCCCAGGATGACATTAAAATGAAGTTCAGTGATCAATCTTCCTTTTGCTTATTTTCAAGTTTTGGATTGTTTTTTCTTAACAAAATATACTCTTTATCCACCCCAACTTCTCTCCCCAGATTTTAGATGATTTCTAAGCAAATCCTAGAGTTACTATCATTCATCTGTAAATATTTTTAGGGTGTATCTAAAAATGTAAATATTTAACAAAATTACAATACCATTAGTATATCTAAAAACATCAATTGTTGTTGATATCATCAAATATCCAGTGTTCTAATTTTTCTGTTGTCTCATAACATTTTTAAAAAAGATTGTTTGGAATAGGGTCCAAAAAGATTCCATACATTTCAAGTCCTTTAAAAATAGCTTCTCTTTCTTTTTTTCCCCTTGCAATTTACATGTTGAAGAAATGAGGCCTTTGTCCTGCAGACTTTTCCAGTTTGTTTTGCAGATTGCATCTTAAGCAGTTTGTCATCTCCTGTATTTCCTGAAAATTGGTAGTTAGAATTAGAGGACTGTTCAGATTCAGGTGCAAAGTATTTATTTATTTTGCAAGTATACTCTGTAGACGGTGGTATTACTTCCATCAAGAAGCACATCTTGTCTGCTTGTTGCTTTTTCTGGAATGTTAGCCATCGATGATCATTGCCTGTATCTATCAAGGGATACAAGTGATGATATTTATACTCTATCATTTCTACTTCATTAGTTAGTTGGAGTGTTCTCTAAACAGAAACATTCATGAAGTAAAATTTTTTTAGTTAAGATCTTCAAACTTACTATGTTTAATTTTCCCAGTTGAAATCAATTATTCTCATTTACTGCTTCTGACCCCCCAGCACAATGATTTCTTTTATCTTTTCTTTAGTTGGTATATCTATATTTATTAAACTCTTTTTTTTTTTTCTAATTGTCTCTTTCCAGCTAAAAGAATCCCCTTTGTTTTTCTTGGTAAAGATGAGCTTCTTGGTATTCAGTCTGTCCAAACCTCTGGGCAACGCTGATCTTTTCAACATGCGGAATAGCACTTAACATGTTCTGGAAGAATTTAGTTATTGGAATAACATGAGCAAAGTAGTTTGGAAAGATCATGTTCATTGAACATTTGTTTTTCTTTTCTTTTCTGTGGTGCAGCTGTCTAAAGATTTTGATCTTATTTTTCAGGAGAAACCTCTTGGGTGAAAGAAGACTGTGGCACAGCCCAGCAGTCTCAGTGTCCAGAAGGGTGAGAATACGGGGAGTTTTTATCCTCCTTTAACATGGAATGTAGCTGAGAAGCCAAGTGGCATTTCCTCCACTTTATATTTTAAAACAATACACTTAACCAACGATTAGGATTCTTGGTGGCTTCAAACTCAGACTTTTGTTCACATCATTGTTTACAAAGCATTTTTAATTAATTTTTTACATTCATGTCTTGTAACAGTGACTTAAAAAAATGGTTGAAGTATTAAATACTAGCATTCTCAAGTTCCTCTGGTCAGGACTAGGATTTAGATCTGAATTACTCCAGCCAGAACTCTTTCCTATGAATATCCTGGAACTTTGAATTTATACTTAACTGAGGAAAGGGAAAGAAGTTTGCCCACGGAAGGCCTCACAAGGAAGAGTGGATGAAAAGGACTTTATCATGTGTACATGGGTGAGGAAAGCATGAGGTAAAACCCCTCACCCCACCCCTCCCATGCCTCTCCTCCACACACTTATAATGGCTGCTACTGGACCTTTCCCAGTCCTGGAAGCATGCCCCACATCACCTTCCAGTCAGGGTGGATTTCCCCTCCAGTTACCCCTTTTGCCCTTCACCGACTTCATTCTTTTGGCCCAAGCAGTGGAAGGAAGTTGGTGAGGTAGGAGAAAAATGGAGTATCTGGCTGTAGGAAGAATTGGTGGAGTCATTTTTAGATAGCATTATTTTATTTAAAGAATGTGTGTAGATAATGTCTGTTTTTGTACCATGCTGCTTTGGTTTACCCCAATCCTCAGATCCAGCTGCCCTGTCCAGTGGCTTTTGGGTGAGCAAAAAATTTGGAATAAAAAGGATACTTGAGTTTGAGTCCTGGTTTTGCCTATGGGACTTTAACTGTAGTCAATTCTGTGAGCTTCATCTATAAAATTATAGTAGTAGTTGTAATAATAATAATAATAATGCCAAGTTCAGAAGATTTCATGTGATGGGGTTAGCCTGGTGAGGGGTATTAAGGAGGGCATGTATTGCATGGAGCACTGGGTGTTATATACAATGAATCATGGATCACTACATCAAAAAAACAAAAACAAAAAAACTTTGAAAAAAAAAAAAGATTTCATGTGAGAATTAAGTCAACATCTTGATCCCATAGATGTTTGACCTTGTTTTTAAGCTGCAAGGTTATTCTGATGGCATATTTATAAATATAAAAGTTTTAATGGCCTTATGCTAATGAATTTATGAAGTATAAGTATTTCCAATGCAAACTGCAATGCAGCACTTGAACTTCTTGATGAGTTTTCTATATATTTTGTGTAAAAAAAATCCCAATTTTCCATTTTATTTTTTTGAGGTATAATCTATACATTGAAATGCTAACATTTATGTGTACAGTATAATGAGACTTGGAAATTCAGAGACCCATGCAACCCAGAGATAGAGTATTTCCAAGACACAGAATATTTCCATCACCCCAGAAAGACACCTCATGTGCTGATTTCTATCACCATAGATTCCTGTTCTAGAATTGCATATAAATGGAATCATCCCATATGTTCCCTTGTGTTGTTGTTCTTAATCCAACGATTTTGAGACTCATAAATGTTATTGCATGCATGTACCATATCTCTCACATGGGCTTTTGCACAGCATATTTTTTTCTGATTAACACATTGGCCCATTCTCTTTTCATATTATTTCTATTTGTTCTTTAGGGCCAAGTTCACACGTCTGTTTTTACCTTACAAAGATCAAATCTGACATCCCCTATGTAGTTGAATAGCATCCTGTAATCAATTCTAACCTTTAACCACCCCCATTTACTTCTCAATTTCATCCCCTAGATTAGGGCTGTAATTCCTTCATGCCTTTATTTTCAATATTTAGCAATAATGTCTGACTCAAATATTTGTTAAATGAATTACTCTACAATAACTGTATATTCTGGGAAACCATATAGACCTGTCCTCCAGACTCTCCTCACAGTTTCTTTTACAAATGTGTAATTAGATGGCCAGGCTGATATTTTTCTAGCTTTACTCAAGCACCTTGAAAAACACGGAAATTATTTTTCTTATTGATAGTTTGTATTGGGGGTGCCCAGGTGGCTCAGTCGCTTAAGCATGAGACTCTTGATTTCAGCTCAGGTCATGATCTCTTGGGGAGTGGGGTTGAGCACCACATTGGGCTCCATGCATAGCGGGGGATCTGCCTGAGATCCTCTCTCTCCTTCTCCCTCTGCCCCGCCACCTGTTCATGTGCACTCTCTCACTCTCTCTCTAAAATAAATAAATTAAAAAAAAATAGTTTGTATTAGCATTCAGAATTTTCTCCATAATAATAGTGGATATTTTTAAGGACTACTCCAATCAAATTTCTTGGAAAAGTGTGTTTTTGCTTAAAAATTTATTTTTCTAATTAAAAAAATTTTTTAAATTAACATGTAATGTATTATTTGTTTCAGGGGTACAGGTATGTAACTCCCATTGCTCACCACAACACGTACTCTCCCCGGTGTCCATCACCCAGCCACCCCATCCCCCCTGCTTAAAAATTTAGATGTGAAGCTGCTTGAGCACAGAGCTTCACATACTCAGTTGCATGCAGTGTATTTGGAATTTAAAACAAATGTTGGTGTTTATAGCTGTTGTTCATAGTAACTCCAAAGTGGAAATTACCTAAATGCCCAGCAACAGTAGAATAACTAAGTTGTGGTTTATTCATTAACTGGAATACAGGAGAGCCATGAGAATGGATGATCTACAACTACATGTAACAGTATGGATTAATCTCAAACATAATGTTCCATAAAAGAGGCCAGGCACAATGGAATACATACTGTATGATTCCGTTTGCGTGTAAATATAAATACAGATACAGGCATAATCAATCTGTTGTTTTAGGTCAAGGTACTGCTCACCCTTGGTGGGGTGTGGTTTGCAGAGGCTATTGAGTGGAAAGAAGCTCGAGGGGAGGATTCTAGGGTGCTGGTATTCTGTTTCTTGATCTGGGTGATCGAGTTCACAGTGGAGTTGTTAGGAAGTTAGGAAACATTAATCAAACTATACATCTGTGAAATGTGTGTGTGTGGTCATGTGTATATAAAATATATACAAATAAAATTTTAAAAGTGAAAAAAAATTAAACGAAGAAAAGACAGCCTCTGGCTATACCCTAAGAGTTACCTTCCATTACTTTAGCTTAAATACTGATATTAAAAAAAAAAAAAGATTGTGATGCTTTTGATGTTAATATTAATATAGCGAGATATTAGAATAAAGAATCAAAAGGGTAGAACTTTAGAATAATAAAAAACCTCATAAGCTATAGAGTTCCTAAATTTTGTATCATAATTATATCCAAAATGCGGTAGAGGAATTGTTACTTTTACGATTTTTGAGTTTGAGCCTTGTATTCGGGAATCGTTGCTCTTGGCTCTTTAGCAAAGTCAGGTCCATGCAAGGTCTGCGGTTAACAGCTCCATTTCTGGGGATGTTTTGTTAATGCTCTGCTTGCATGCTGCTGACCTCTATTGAAAAACTGCAATTAATTAGCGCCATATATACTCACCACTGTAAAGTGCTAAATATATTTGAGGTAAGGCAATGATACTAATGTTCTATTATGGTGATTCCAAAGTATTAGGTGAGTGGGTTGGGGCTGAGTTATGAGAGGTTGAGTAACTGCTTAGAGTTCAATAGCTAATAAAGACTGAAGGTAAGGGATTACTGACCTACTAACATTACTAACATGCTAATTAGGGGTTCCTTACTGGAAGTACTGATTCTTAAAGGAGATAACAATATTTATTTTATTTTTTAAATTTTTTTAAAGATTTTATTTATTTATTTGAGAGAGAGAGCATGCGTGAGAGCACAAGAAGGGGGAGGGTCAGAGAGAGAAGCAGACTCTCCGCTGAGCAGGGAGCCCAATGCTGGGCTCTATCCTGAGACTCCAGGGATCACGACCTGAGCCAAAGGCAGCCGCTTAACTGACTGAGCCACTCAGATGCCCCAGGAGATAACAATTTTTAAAAAGAGAAAGAAAAAAATGACCCAGGACATACTGTACTTTCTAAGCATTTTCTAATTTAGAGAATTGTAAGTAGCACAGAAAAGTGTCTTTATTTTTTTTTTTACAATCAAAATAGTAGACTAATATTTTGTTTTCCATTTTCAGATTTGAACTGCCACCAGTTATTTTGTTTTCCATGGATGGATTTAGGGCTGAATATTTGCAAACATGGGACGCTCTCATACCTAATATTAATAAACTGAGTAAGTCTTCCACAACTGTAGGCACACAAAGGACGAGGACACTAGTTAGCCAGTCTGTAGATGGGTACCTTCCTTCCTGACCTTCCATATTAGTCGTTTGCTTTCTCCCAGGTCCTCCGAAGATCCTGAGGAATTTACCACTCATGGGACCTATTTTCATACTTGTTGGCTCCTCCTTTTTTTGTAGCATGTTCATCTTTTGGTTTATTGTGATTTGTTTTGTATTTGAATGTAATTTCCATCTTATGGAAATCTGTCCACATACACTATCTCGAAAGTGGTGTTTGTCAGACTTGGGTTCTGAATCTTAGCAAGAAGAATGTGACCAGCAGGGACAGGATCCCGAAGGAGCCTGAGTGGCAGAACAGAGCCAGCACATACCAATGCTCCAGAAGGCAAAAAGCCTAGTGTCTATGTCTGGTTCTGGAAGTAAGCTGCCTGGAAACTGGTTCCACTGCTTATTAGCTGTGAGACCGTGGGCAAGCTTACCTCACCTACTGGTGCCCATTCTCTTGAGTTGTAAAATGGTCACTTCCTACCTGATGGGAATACTGCGAGAACATAAATTGTACACACTGAATGATTTTAAGTTATTATTATAATTATTGGTTTTATTGTCATCTTAATCAGGATGTTACACTTCTATTTAGGACACTCGGCCCTCGTATGATGTTATAAAGTTATTAATAAAGAGAAATTAAGTACCTAAGGACACAGAGCCAAGAAGTATCAGAACATGATTAGAGCCAGAGGGTCAACTCCCGGGTCTATAGTCTTCACTGCCCCACAATTCTTTCTTTCTTCCCCCTTCTGCCAGACCCTTGTTTGCCTCCAAGGCCCTCAAAGTTTATCACAATTTTACTGGTGTCTTGTTTTTATTTTTCTCCAAATTATTAAAAAATAACTGTTTGGGCCTGAGTAAATCCATTTCCTTGTCTGGGTCTCAATTTCCTTACTTGTAAAATGAGAGGATTAGCTCTAATGATTTCTACTCTTTATTCCAGCTCTAAAATCCCATGATGGACTGCTTCCCCTCTAACACAAGGTGCTTTGTCACTTCAGCTTTTCTCTCACTCTCTGAGGCAGATCCTTAGCAAAAACGTCGAGAGTTTGGGGTTATGACAGAACTGGCTCCGAATTCGGGACTTGCCATTGAAGTGCTGAGTTACTTTGGCCCGGAAAGTTAATTAACACCTCCCACAGTTTCTATTTCTTTATTCGCATTTTCCTTGATAATCTGGATATCAAATTCTGTATCCAAAAGGGAATTTAGCCAGCCAGGCTGAGCTGAACCCCTTTTGAAGTGGAATTATTTGATTTGCTCATCCCACTCAGAGTTGGAAATGACACCAGTGGAAATATTGGGCCATGGAGAGTGTTCCCTTTCTAAGATTTTAATCCTTTAATGTGTAGACATCACTAACTAGGTCTACAAGGCAAAATGGGCTGTTAGCTTTCAGGAGGCCTGATTAAGAGTAGATGTAATAAGACTTAGGATTAGGACCTCCTGGGAATGGTAGGCTTGAGCTGAGTTATGTGAAAACAGGCATCACGTTAAGGAAGTACAGAACCCCATCTCCAGTGTCCCATCAGGCTCCCTGGGTTGGTTGACAGTGACAGTGGTCATGGAAACTGAGCATGAACTCACACCACAGAACCACGAGTCGTATCTGTGATGGTTAGAAGGACTCAGACTCAACTCTAGTGAGCGGGTGAGATCATTGTCTTGTCTGAGTGTGGGTGGGAGCAGAAAAAAAAGGGGTCAGGCCCAAGAACAGGGAACTGTCAGGTAAGATAGAGGTGATATGGCGTGAACTACAAGTCAGGTTTCCTGGAAAACTGGGTGAGAAAGTGGGGATAGAATAAGACTAGTAGAACTGGCAGGCAATGTTTGCAGTTTTGAAGATGAGAGTTAGCAAGGTTTACATTCACGAACAATAGAACTCTTAAATTCTCCACAGCAGACGCCATTTGGTCACGTTCTTCTTGCTAAGATTCAGAACCCAAGTCTGACAAACACCACTTTCGAGATAGTGTGTGTGGACAGATTTCCATCTGCCCCCTCCTCCTCCTCTTTCTTCTTTTTAATTTTATTGTGGTAAGAACACTTAACATAAGACCTAACCACTTGATAGACTTTTAAGTAGGTAATGCAATATTGTTCTCTATAGGCCCGATGTTGTACAGCAGATCTCTAGAATTTATTCATCTCACTAAATGAAATTTTATACCCACTGATGAGCAACTCTCCACTTTCTCCTCCCCACAGACCTTAGCAACCACCATTCTATTCTTTGCTTCTATGAGTTTGAATCTTTTAGATCTCTCATGTAAGTGGAGTCTTGCAGTATTGGTCTTTCTGTGACAGGCTTATTTCATTTAATGTCCTCAAGGTTCATCTCTATGGTTGCATATTGTAGAATTTCCTTCTTTTTTAAGGCTGAATCAAGTTCCATTGTGTGTATATATTACTTAAAAAATACATTTATCTGTCAGTGGACATTTAGGTTGTTTCTACATCTTGGCTATTGGGAATAGTGATACATTGAACATGGGAGTGTTAATATCTCTTCAAGATCTTGATCTCAATTCTTTTGGATAAACATCTGGAAGTAGGATTCCTGGATCATAGGGTAGTTGTATTTTTAATTATTTGAGGACCCTCCACACTGTTTTCTACAGTGGCTATACTATTTTGTATTCTCACCATCAGTATACAAATGTTGCAATTTCTCCATGCCCTTGTGAACACTTGTCTTTTGTGTTTCTGATAAGAGCCATCCTAACAGGTGAGAAGTGATAACTCATTGTGGTTTTGATTTGCATTTTCCTGATGGTTAGTGACATTGATCATCTTTTCTTATACCTATTGGTCATTTGTAGATCTTCTTCAGAGAAATGTCTATTCAAATCCTTAATGCATTTTTAAGTGGGTTATTAGTTTTTTTCTAGAGTTGTAAGAGTTCATTATGTATTTTAGAAATCAATTCCTTGTTAGATATATGGTTTGTAAATATTTTCTTCCATTCCATATGTTGTTTCTGTTGATGGTTTCCTTTGTGCACAGAAGCTTTTTAGTTTGATATAGTTCCGCTAGTCTATTTTTGCTTCTGTTGCTTGTGATTTTGGTATCATATTCATGACATCATTACTAAAACCAATGTCATAAATCTTTCCTCCTCTTTTCTTCTAAGACTTTTACGGTTTCAGGCCTTATATTTGAGTCTTTAGTTCATTTTGAGTTAGTTATTGTTTATGGTATATGAAAGGGTCCAGCATCTTACTGGAAAAACTCGGTTTTTTCATTGTGGAGTATGATGTTAGCTGTGGGCTTTCCATATATGGCCTTTATTATGTTGAGAAATATCCCTCCCTTTCTAGTTTGTTAAGAATTTTTATCATGAAAGGGTATTGAATCTTATTAAATGCTTTTCTGCATCTGTTGAGATATGATCATGTGATTTTTATGCTGTATTATATTAATGTGGTTTATAACATTAAGATTTTTGCATCTATGCTCATCAGGGATATTGTCCTGTAGTTTCCTTTTCTTGTGGTGTCTTTGTCTGGCTTTGAATCAGGGTAATGCTGTCTTCGTAAAATGAGTTTGGAAGTGTTTTCAATGTTTTGGATGAGTTTAAGAATGATTGGCATTAATTCTTCTTTAAATGTTTGATAGAAGTCCGCAGTGAAGCCTTCTAATCCTAGGCTTTTCTCTGTTGAAAGGTGTAGTCGAACTAAAGATTTGTTAATTTTATCTTTTCAAAAAACCAAGTTTAATTTTCGTAATTTTAAAAATTATTTTTCTATTCTTTATTTTATGTTTGCTGTAATCTTTATGGTTTCCTTCCTTCTGCTAACTTTGGGTTTCATTTGTTCTTTTCCTAGTTCCTTGAGGTGTAAAGTCAGGTTGTTTATTTGAAAGTCCTTTTTTAATGTGGGTGTTTGTTGTATACACTTCCATCCTAGCGCTGCTTTTGCTGCATCTGTCGGCTCTTGCACCTGCTCATCCATTTAGTTTTCTGCTCTTTCTTAAAGTTTATAGTTACTTGGGGTATGTGTTTATTCCATTTGTATTTTCAGATTTTTTTGGTTGGTTTTTTTAAGGAGTAAATTACACAAATGATAAACTTTTAAAAACAATATTAAAATGTAAATAGTAAGGAAAATATGTATATAATAGAATAACAACAACCAACCAACAAACAATAAAACTCTTTCCGGATCTTTCTAAGCTTATCTCTGCGGAAGCAACTACTCTTACTGATTTAGTGTGTGTCCTTCCAGAATTATACTTTTTAGTTTTAATTTGGATTATTAAGTTCTGGAAGAAACAATGGTAGAAGATTTTGCTTTCTGTGAGCTGTTCTCTAACAGCTCTAGTTCAAAGGCCAGTGATCCAAATGGTAGCCTGAGTCATGGATAGTCAGCACGTGTGTCCTGTTTGGAACATTTTCAATAAGGAAGTGTCATGTTTTTCCATTACCAGTAGCTTAGTTTATATTTTATTTTATACTCAATGCCTTAGGCATTTAAGAATTACATTACATTAATTTAATTACATTAATTACATGTATGAAGGAAATAAAAAGAGACTGACTTTATATTTCTATTTACTTCGTATGTTTTTCCCTTAAATTCTTTTCATTGTATAATGAATTGGATCTCATTTTATTTTCTTATCATATGACTTCTTAACAATAATAAATGTATCTTTCTCCGATTGAGGATGGGATTTATTTATTGGTAGTATTAACTAAAGAAAGAAAAAAAGGTTATTTTAATCTTTAATTATACTTAGGAATCAAATCGCAGGGCAGGCCTCAAACTTAGGTACATCAGAACCACTTGGGATGCTTGCCACAAATGTAGTTTTTGTTTGTTTGGTTGGGTTTTTTTTGAACTCCCTTGTTCTTCACCTTCCTCCTACCCTTGCATTCCTACCAGAGTCCTATTTAGTAAACTTAATATGGAGCCCAAGAAGGTTCTGAAGGAGGTAATCCCAATATGAAGGTTTCATATTGGAAACGCTGCATACTGGACCAACTCCAAGCCTATTTGAGCAAACATTCATTATTTTCAGCTGCAAATTTTGGATTTGGGCATGGGAAATTTCTTGCCTATCACTGCTGGAGAGGAAGCAGCAATGCTGCAGTGTTTCTGACCTCCTTCAGCAAGATCATTGCACAGACCGAAAACAACAGAACATTTGAAAGCAAAATTGACGCCACGCTTTGTGGAAAACAGATCACAGGAAACTGCAGTGATCCAATGGAAACTGTACTGAAAATAATAAGTAGTAAAGTTAGCTCCTTTGGTAAATGTTACTATGTGACATGGGCCTGTGCTCTGATACAAGTCAAATTCCTTTTCAGCTACCTAGATAGTTGTATTGACTTTTGTTCTATTGGATACTGTCGTACAAGAACTGTTAGCTGAGATGCAAATGCGATCTAGAAATTCTCATCCTAATGACCTGGATCAGAAGGAGGGGAGCAGCAAAAACAAAGCTGGTGGCAGTGTATAATTTAGGGTGCGCTTAGCTGAGAGGTCAGCAAGCTGTGGCCTGTGGTCAAAATGTGGCCCACTCTGTTTTTGTGTGGCCTGCTAAATGCTAAGAATTGTTTTACATTCCTAAATGATTGGGGGAAAAAAGAAGAGGACATTTTGTGACATGTACAAATTACGTGAAATTCAAATTTCAGCATTCATAAATATAGTTTTATTGCCATGTTCATTTGTTCACATAGCATCTGTGGATGCTTTTGGGCCTCAGTAGCTGAGTTGAGTCATTATAACAGAGACTATATGCATTTACAAAGCCGAACATATTTATTATCTGGCCTTTACAGAAAAACGTAGATTTTCCTTGATTTGGTTCACTTCTCTACTAACAACTGACATTCCTTGGGAAGGAGGAATTGTAGGCATCAGAAAGATTTCAACCTCTTTCCATCTTTAATCCACTCTTCAGTTAGTTTTTTATTTCTCTGGAAAATTTTATGTTTAAGTTTTTACTTATAAAAAAAAACTTATGAGGAAAAAAATATTTTTTCCCTCCATGGGGAAAGCCTGTTTTTGTTTTTACTGGAGGCTCAGGTGGCACATGATGGTTCATAAAATGGCTTCAGAGGTAGGGGCTAGAGAGGAGACAAAAAATAACCTGGGGTGGGAAAGAAAAACAACCAGGAGGAGGTAAGAGCTGGCTGGTTCCTTCTCAGCCTGATTTAGGGGAGGGAGGTGGTGCCTCTGAATAATATGATGGATCCCTTCCTTCAACCCACATGGTAGCTGTGGGGGTCCTTCGAGTTGGAGTCACTCCAGTATGGTGGTGGTGGGGGGTCCCCACTGTTGATGGGGGCCAAGGTCCCCTTTGCCCCCCACCAAACAGCCTAGGTCCTCTCTTTGGGACTGTGGGCTGCCTGGGTCCGGGGGTGGGGGGAACTCCTGCCACCACCACTGGAAGTAGGGGCGGTTTTGTGGGTGCTGGGGCTTCTTAATTTCTTACTATGCTTTGTTGCAGAAACATGTGGAATTCATTCAAAATACATGAGAGCTGTCTATCCAACCAAAACCTTCCCAAATCATTACACTATTGTCACGGTAAGTGCTTGGCCCAGGGGCAAGCCTGACAGGCCATAGACAGGCAACCGGTCACCACAGACACGCGGAGGCAGGAAGTGGCTGAGCCCATATGCCACACATTTCACAAGCACATGTGTGACAGTTCATGGCTACTTAACTCAGGCTAGGAAGTAGCATCTTGTTGCGAGCCAATCCAGTGCTTGATTAAGTATGAATGAATGTCCCAGCAATAGGCTAAATTCACCTGTGTGATGGGTCAGGATAGCTTCTTGGATGTGAGAAGTACCATTCTCCTTTGATCTTTGGATTTGCCTCCACTTATCTGAAGGCCTGCTGGGAATGGTAGGTTATGTGTGAGGACAGCCACTTTGATGTAGGAAATTTCTTTTTTTCCTGATCTTTTCATTGTATTTAACTTGACAAAGCCTTCTGTTTTAAATAAATTCATGCTGGCTAGATCCCTTTAGATAAAGCAAGTAAAGCAAGTGAATTCTCATGTATGATAAGACATAAGTGAAACGATCAAAATGAACTCAAAAGAAAATAAAATTATTTAACATTTATAGATTTAGAACACATCTTTAAGGAGTTCTTTGCCTCAGCCTTTATTACCAAAGGATATTGTGTCTTTACTACTTTGTATTTCTTCTTTTATTACTATGGAACAGTAACTATAACATTTAAATTTTAACTCTTAAGTAATAATATGTAATGTATGCATGCCCGCTTGTGTGTGTATGTACATACATATATATACATATACACATTTATACACGTGTGTGCACATGCATATATATACTTGCATATTTTCCTAAATATTCAAATTGCACAGCTCACGTATTCCCACCTGAGGTCTACCAAGGTGACACTCTGCCTTTCATGTTGTAGCTCTCATACAGTAAACAAATGTTGTTTCCACAGTCTACTGCCTATTTAGGGTCATATTTTTCACATGTTTGTGCTTTTTGTTGATGATTTTTAAATCGCTGTTTACAATAGGCCTCAAGTGTAGTGCCAAAGTGCTGTCTAGTATTCCTAAAAGCAAGATGGCTATGATGTGCCTCATAGAGTAGATATATATGTGTTAGATAAGCTTCATTCAGGACTGAGTTATAGCGAACCAATGACATATGTTACATAAGGTATCTTTAAATGGAAACAGACAAAAGCAAGATTATGTATTGATCATCAGACAAAAGTGTTGTGACTAGAGGCTTGCGAGAGCCTATCCCTGTATTTTCCCTAACTGTAGTGGTTCAGTATTCACTAATTCAGTGTTTGCAGCAACTTTATAGAACATAATTATCACAGACAACAGGGAAATGCAAATAAAAACCACCATGAGATATCACTTTACACCTGTCAGAAGGTCTAGTATCAAAAAGACAAGAAATAACAAGTGTGAGCGAGGCTGTGGAGGAAAAGGAAACTTCATCCACTGTTGGTAGGAATGTAAATAGGTGCAACCACTGTGGAAAAACAATGTGGAGTTTCCTCAATTAAAAATAGAAATACCATATGATCCGGAAAGAAAGAAAGAAAATGAAAGCACTAAATTGTGCTTTCATAAATGAAACCCCTATGTTTATTGCAGTATTATTTACAATAACAGCCAAGTTATAGAAGCATTTAAATGTCCGCTGCAAATGGCAAGATTTCTTTTTTTACAGGTGAGTAATATTCCATTGTATATGGTATATATGGACTATTACTCATCTATAAAAAAGAATGATATTTTGCCACTTGTGACAAGGTGGATGGACCTAGAGGGTATTATGCTAAGTGACATAAGTCAGACAGAGAAAGACAAATACTGTATGATTTCACTTATATGTGGAATCTAAAATCCAAAACAAATGAACAAACTAACAAGCAAAAACCAAAATAACAGAAACAAAATCGTAAATACAGAGAACAAATTGGTGGTTGCCAGAGGGGAGGGAATTGGGGAGATCAACGAAATAAGTGAAGGGGATTAAGAGATACAAACTTCCAGTTATAAAATAAATGAGTCACAAGGATGAAGAGTACAGCGTAAGCAGTAGAGTCAACAATAAGGTCATAATGTTTTATGGTGACAGATGGCAACTACACTTACCATGGTGAACACAGAATTGTCAAATCGCTATGTTGTACACCTGAAACCGCTGTAACATTTATGTCAACTATACTTCAATAAAAAAGAATGGACTAGGGCGCCTGGGTGGCTCAGTTGGTTAAGCGACTGCCTTCGGCTCAGGTCATGATCCCGGAGTCCCGGGATCGAGTCCCACATCGGGCTCCCCTGCTCAGCAGGGAGTCTGCTTTTCCCTATGACCCTCCCCCTGCTCATGCTCTCTTTCTCTCTCTCTCTCTCAAATAAATAAAATCTTTAAAAAAAAAAAAAAGAAGTAATGATGAATTAAAAAGAAAAAGAAGAAGCCTGGTAAAGATACCAAAATAGGCAAGAAAAAAACTGGCCGAAATATCTGTGCAATAAATAATTTCTCTTCCCCTCATTCTAGAACTCTCCTTGCTCTATTGTCCATACTTCTTTTTAAATTGTTTTTTTGTTCAATTTCATGGTGTCTTTTTTTCTTCTATAAATTGAGCACAAAATAGTGACACAGGCTTAAAATATTTATGAGATGATTGAGACTTAAATAAGAATGAGGAAGCAGAAAAAAAGGTAATTTTCCCATATTCTTACCTGTATGGTTTTTTCTCTTGTTTCTCAAAAAGGTCACTTCCTTACCTTTTTTTTTAGATAACTGTGAATTGCATTTTTACACAGTTTTAAAATATGCCATCAAGTTACTGCAGTAATTATTAAAGAAACAACATTTCACTCGTTTGTAAGAGATTCATGAATTTTTCACAAATAAGGAGCTTATCCTAGGTCTCAAAAACTTTTGACTTGATTTGGGATTTAAGTCAATGAAGGTTATTTCAAGGGCAAATTGAATCCATTGTAAGAGGATTTTGGTGCAATTAAACTGATTTTTTAAATTTTTACTGGTATTTACTAGTGTGTTATATACTTTTCATATATAATTTAAATTCAAAAGTTGTATTTGCCACTTGAAATCTAGACATATCCACTGTCTGTCAACAAAGGAGGGGAGGTTTATGGTGGCTTAAGATACATACACAGGAATAAAAACTTAAAACGTCAAACACCAAATCATAATTTAAATCATTTTTAATTGTAATTTAAATATTGTTGCAATAACAAAAATAACATAATTGGGGAATGTGACCACATTGATAATAGGTTTAATATCCTTATTTTATTAGCCAAGCTTAAATCCTCTTTCTTTTAAAAAGTGCTTAATTGTCTTAGAAGATGAAATTGTTGAATTAGCTTGCATATTTTTATAACTTATATGAAGAAAGAATTTACCTATTTTTTTTTAGTGCCGGAAACCTGATCAGCATTTCAAACCCTATTTGACTCCTGATTTGCCAAAACGACTACACTTTGCCAAAAATGTTAGAATTGACAAAGCTCATCTTTTGGTGGATCAGCAGTGGCTGGCTGTGAGGTTTGTGCATCTATTTACTTGTCTTGTAATACTTTTAACAACCGTCTTTCAATATAAATTACCTTAATTTTACCCACTATTATGATCATGGCATCTTTCCTGAGTAGGGGTATTTGCTTGACTTTTTATGCTACCTAGCACTTCTGCATTTGAAACCCCTGTTATTAGGGGGTCAATCTTAGCATCCTAATCCTCACAATATAGAGAAGCAGGGAAGAAGGCTGACGCTGTTTATAGACCACTCCAGAAACTGTTAGCACCAGCACATTGCTAACCCCCACTTGGGTCTTTTTCAGATGGTAGATAGATGGGAAGATGATATCCGCTGTCTTGCAGGTTGGTAATAAGAAACTGATTAGATGGCTCTTTGAGATCTTTGTCATCTTTGTGGTTTTCATGAAAGAGCACCTTCATGGCTCGAAGGCCAAGCTAACCAATTAGGTGTTAACATTTATTTCTTTTTTCTAGTTATCATTCACATTGATTGTTGAGCATTTGCAAATTATAATTGTGCTTAGAGAAAATAAAAACCATTCTGAATCACTTCATCCCAAGATAACCAATTAATTCATTGGTTTCACAAAATCATATTGGTTTGTTATTGTGTGTGCTGGGCCTTGCTCCAGGCCTTTGGGATACAGACAGGATTCTCGTCCAATGACAAAGGCTGAGAATAAGGCAGCAAACAAATACATACACACTTTTTGGTAGTTTAACTAATGTTTCCTGTTTTTAGATTACATTCCAGTGTTGTTGTTGTTGTTGTTGTTGTTTTTCCATGTGCATAAGTGGTTTGAAATGGAAGCAGGATCGTATTATTTTCTGGCCTATTTGTATGTTATGTAATGCCGGAGGATACAGAGGACAATGGGAATACAGAGTCTGAAAGATATGTTTAACAAAGAGGAGACAAAAAAAGTTGAGGTAGTTGGGCTCTAATATAACTGTGTGCAGGATGAGGAACCGGGGTTTTGGGGAAACCCAAGCAGTACAGGGTTAGGCCAGAGAGTGTGCATGTTCACACCTGACCGCTAGATGGCGCTGGCCTCTCTTCTTGGGATTGGAGTTTCATAACCCTTTGTGAAGCTCAGTGGCTTTACTGTGTGGCTCACCATAGCATTCTCCGGAAGAATTAAAAAGACTAAGCTTTACTAATATTAAGAATATAAGGCTTTTAGTAATGTAGGCATGTATTATGTAAACAAGTATATGTCCAAATGTGGGTAAATTCTCCAAATATGCACTGTTGAGACTATGTGGTGGAAGAAGTTAGGAGGCCACTGGTACAAAATGAGGAAGTGCCCATCCATCCTATAACATGATCTATGGGTTATAGAAGGAGAGTCCAGCCACCAGAATACCTCTGGGTATTACACATTAATATCTAGTCTCAAATTATGAGCTTTGTACATTTAATAGCTAGCAGTGAGATGTTCAAGGCTGAGAGTTCAAGACCTGCCTCCACACCTAGCTTGTGAGAACTTAATGTCTCAGGACTTCATGTTCATCATCTGTAACACCAAATTAGCCTGGTTTTATTATTCTCTTGATATTAAAGTAAACTAATTTATACCAAAGGAAATGTTGATGACAGCCCAAACCAGGGAGTCTCGTCTGATTAAGTCCTGAGTTCACTCTACCTCCAACTCTTAACACATGAATGTCAGGCTACCTGGTTTCTACATTAAAGTATGCTGTTTTAGTTATAATGTCCGGTATTTGATAACTAGATTAGATCTCTTTTCCAGAATTAGAGCAAATTTCATCATTTAGTGTAATCTATCATCACCATCATTATCCTTATTTTGCCTAAAATGTGTTGGATTTTACTTATTTGGGGAAACCCAATTATCTGAAACTACAACTGAAGTATTGTTAAAATGCCCCCTTAAAGAACATGAATAATAGCTTTTTTTTTTTTTAAGATTTTATTTATTTGAGAGAGAGCGCACGAGACCGGGTGGGGGGGGAGGGCGGGGTAGAGGGAGAAGCAGACTCCCCACTGAGCAGGGAGCCCAATGTGGGACTAGATCCCGGGACTCCAGGATCATGACCTGAGCTGAAGGCAGTTGCTTAACCAACTGAGCCACCCAGGCGCCCCCTAAGCTAACTTTTCTTGCTGACACATTTTGCAACAGAGATAACGTGAACGTATTTGATCTTTAGTAAACCTAGTTAGAATAAAATCATTGTATTTAATGCTGATCACTCTAAATGTATTTTTTTTTTTTTTAAAGTAGTTTCCATGCCCAGCATGGAGCCCAAATGCTGATCACTCTAAAGGCATAGCTGTTCTAATTAAATAAAAAAAACTTGAAAAACAGTTGGGTTAATTTCTCTTATATTTCTGAGAGTTTTCAGAATCCTTAATTTACAAATGCACTTGTTTTTTAGCCAATTGAATAGAGCTCTTTACAAGTTAATTTTGGTAAAACCATACAGAGGTAGAAATAGATTTCACATTTACAACATACACATGGATGTATCTTGCACTCCCCTAATGATCTCAGGGTCATGAGACTGAGCCCCGTGTAGAAATGTAGAAATGCCCTATGTATAAATAATAAGGGAAACTATGCAAGATGAGTAGGAAGTGTTTTTGGCTAAGAAATGGTATGAAGTAGGGAGATACATTTTTGTTAAAGGAAAAGAA